AAATATAACTAGTTTTTCTCCTTTTTTAAAGAAAAAAAATAAAATCCAGAAGCTGCATTATTCTTGGTTTCCCGACCTACGCAAACCTGGTTCATTCTGTAGAAATGTTTTCAATGTTTATGTTCTTTTACCGCGTACTTCCCTTCTCTTAAATTTCCCCAATTAATCATACTGCAAGTAGACTTCCACGCTTTTCATTTCAAAGAGAGTATGTTGAAACCATACAATTTTTAAATGCAAAGCGTTAGCTCAGGGTTTATAGAATGTATCTGCATAGCAATTTTTTCAGCAATTTATACTTGAACTCCTCTCAAATGTGTTTTCAGAATTGTTCCAAAGGCGTGCTGTAAAAGAAGGCTACGACATTAACTCATCAGCTTATAAAATTCAGGCTAGCAAAACCAATTCCTACAGGGAAAAAAATATCAACTCTACTCAGGAGCACTGAGAAGACTTAAACATCCATACGTGATATTTTTATTTTACTTTTTATTTTTTCATTTCATTTATTTTATTCTATAAGACAGAATGCAGATACTTGAGTTATTCAGATACTCTGCTTAGTCACCGTAACCTAAATCTCTGTGATTGATCAGATATTTTTTCAAGTTTGTTCGTTTAAGATTTTTGTTCCTGTTCTTTTTAATCATTAAGTCTGAGTCGCTTTGGGACTTGGTTACTGGAAGGGAGGTGAAACCTGAAAGCGGAAATGGGGGAAATGGGGGAAAAAAGAAAGCCCTTGAAGAGATCAACAAAAGGGATGCAAGGATTCAAGAACTCATCGTCACACGCATGGATCAGAACACGCTTTCTCATATTCTCACCTGCGAGAGTGCTCATGCATGACATGTGGTCTAAACTGGAAACTGTCTTTGCAAGGCAATCACAGGTTAGCTTTCACCTGCTGCGACAGCAGTTTTTTAATGCTAAATTTGAAGGCAGCCTTATGGAATTTTTGTCCACTATCGAACATTTAACCTCCAAAATTAAACAGCAAAATGTATCTATTCCTGAGAACATGGTCATCACAGAGCTTTTGTTGTCCCTTTGTTGCCAAATAGCTCTTGAGTTTGAGGGAGGGTGTTGACATTATGCAACCTCACTTGGCAACATCGCAACTTTCAACCAATCATGGCGTCTCTCTAAGTGCTAGCGAACCATGCTTTTTCGTGCTGTTTGCATGTGCGTTCACGTACTTACCTTCTTGTATAAATACGTTCAAATGCAACCCTTGTAGTTCTCCCTTCATTTTCACTGCCCCTAAATCATTAAACACTACCTACAGGGGTTTCATTTACATACCCTCCTAGTCACATGGGTAGTCGTGTCTTTTACAATGGTAGCCGTTAAACACAAGCCTAATTACTATAAAATATAAAATCAAAATACCGCAATAACCAGACAGCGCGAAATTTTCCTGAGCAATCTTGCCTGCCTCTGCGTCTGTGGGTCACTCGATGAACAGGTCCTGCACTCCTCACAGAATATCAAGGACCTCGTCTCTGTATTTGAGGGGCTTGGAGGACAAGACGCATCATAGGTGCAATTTTTGCTATTTCGAGAAGTAAGTACGTGTTTAAAGTTTCGAATTTACATGGAATTATATGGCGGAATAAGAGTTCAATCTGACTTTTTGATGCTTAAAAATTGAAACTTGGGTGCGAATTTTTCACAGAATATGTATTAAGATTAGTTTTTCTTGAAATCATTAATATCTCAATTTTGTCAAAAACGGCACTTCCGCGCCTCGTCTTCCAAGCCCCTTATTTTGTCGCCCCTCTGACATAAGGGCGTACCTCAATTTCCATGTGAGCTTTGTTTTGCGTGTAAATCCATTCTTTTTGGGGCTCATGCGAAAATCGAGATACGCCCTTACTCCAAAGGAGCGACCATTTGAAGACTGTTGAGTCGCAGACTCCAAACTTGTTTGAAATTCTGCGCATGGCTTCTTCTGACGCTAAATGAGATAGCGCTATTTCTACCTTCTTGCGCGAGGAGATGGGATTACATCCCCCGATGCTCGTTCTTTGTTGAAGATCAGTGGCGTGGCGTGAATTGCGATACATCGATTGTTATGCCATTTAAACATATGGTAAAGAATCGATTATTAAGGTGTTCGCTGCGAACACCTTGTTTATCGATCCTTCTCCATAGGTTTAAACGGCATAACAATCGATGTATCGCAATTCACGCCACGCCACCGTTGAAGATGGAGTATTTTGAGCTTAGTAACTAATGGCATATTTATGGTATCTATAATGAGCTAGAAGTTTCTACAGTCCTTAATTACGAAACGAAGTCTAACTGCAAAACGGCAGGAGCTGGAGGGAGCATTTTGCCGCGGGGAACGCTCCCGTCTTTGCACATCCAATGAGATGCAACTCAAGTAAACAATATTGCCTACCCTCTGATTTGAAGGCTTTTTGTGAGCGACGGTTATTTCCATCGTAGTTTGTCTGTCTGCTGACCGCGATGCCACGATTGACATTTGAAATCTTCCTCCCCCTTCCTTAATGAAAAGCTATATACAAACAGAATTCTTTGTAAAATCGTCAATGAAGCATTTAAATAAAATGCTACTGGTTCAAAAGCGAAAGATAGGAATGTAAATCCTCCAAAAACATAATAGAAAATCCAGAAATTTATCTCTGCTTGTTTAAAGTCGTGCCTTAAAAACTAGAAACAGGTCAAAGGATAAAATTACTCCAAATAAAATTGTGTATGAATGATGAAGGAAATAAATCAACCATAACTTTAACCTTGTATTGAAAACTTATAGCACTTCAATATTCACAGCTTTTTGAACTTAAAAGAATCTACTTCTGTTAAGACGCATTTAGAGTGTGTAAAATTAACAGAAAATATGATGGATAATTGATCATTTTATGAATATTAACCGCGAACTATTTTACGTTAATCTCAAAAGTGGTATGTTTGAACTGAGCTAGGTTAAAATTTTAAAAATCATTAAAATTAAATTATTCATATCGTTAATGCTCTCGCCTCTCCTGCTGTAATGGAAAGTATAAGGGTGTATGACTGTATGCCTCTAAAAAGAACGTATTCGTACATGAAAAATTAAGCAATTCTAGGAATAAAAAATCTCTGGATCCGTGTGATGAGAAAGAACATGATTATGCCACATTTGTGATACAAAATAGTGTCCACTGCTTCTCACTAGAAGTTAGGTAAGTTCGGCGTTTTCCGGACGATACAATAGAACCTAACAGCATTCCAACATGAAAAAGTTTTACTCGTAAATTATATTTTCACCGGAGAGCATGTGGGATTGCAAAATTAGTGATCTTGTGATCCTAGTATTGCAAGCTGGCGGTGTGTACTGTTTGGTGGTTCCGGGTATACCGTCTGTATTGGGGTAGGTTCGACACCAAGAAATAATGCTTTTTCAACAACTTGAACGCGCACCGTAGTATACGCGCAATGCATGCAGTATCCTGCAGACTTGTAAGGCGTCAAGCGCGCGCCGTGCTGTAAGCGCAATGCATGAAGTATCCTGCGGTCTTGTAAGGCGCCAATACATATCCTAGAATCAGTATGGCTCTACACGGTGGTACATAGTGGTAAACGATGACAGTCAATTTACATGCGGCAGCGCGCCTTCATTTTCGTCTGATACTGTGCAACACATCTGTGGCGGAATAGTTGCTCAGAGCGCCTTTCACAGTATTGCTTCGCCTTGATTGAGAAAAATGACGATTACCTGAAATTACACCCTGGCGCGTGCAGTCACACAATTTCTAATCACCGACGGTGAAGACATTCATGCTTCAATTTGCGGCGTTGCATATTTTCCGTTGCCTATTCCATGTGGGACCTATTTCATGTAGTTACAATTGTCTCCTAAGTATCATTGTGGTTAAAATTGTTTTATTTGTCTACTTATAAGTGGTGCCTTGATGATCGTTCTGCGAAACCGAAAGGCCTTGAAATCTATTGTAACCGACTAACTGTGTGAGAAATAAATTTATAAATTATGTATGTACTCTATGATTGTGTATCAATATCACAGCATATTGGCCCTCCTCTTATTATTTTTACACGTATGTTATTCTCTGTGGAGTTCCAGATTTGAATATAGATTTTTTACATATTACAGCCGATTCTGTGGCGCACATTCAAATTTTTAACTCTAAGGCGTTGCTAATCTTTCTGCAAAATACCTGCTTAATGAAACCTTCTCTATTATTCTAATGGTTTGAAGATTCAAATATGCCATTCAAGAGGTCAATAATAGCAGCGCAGGTGCAATACTGTCCCTGGGATTCTTCAAATTCCAATATCACACCGAGATGGCCAAGAATGTTCATAAGTGAGCGTTTTTCCGCAAAAAATGAGTAAATATTTGTATGTGCTAAAACCAAGTCAAATATGTGCTTTTAACGACGGGTCGTAACAGCTGTAGTAGTGGATCACTCTGGATAATTTGATTCCAAAAAACATAGGCGGATCCATGGGGGGCGCATACCCGCTACGCCCCCCCCCCTTAAATAAAAAAAGGAGGGAGAAAAGGGAAGAAATAAAGAAGGAAGGAAGGAGGAACTAAGAAGGAAGGACACTAGTATCTGCTTATTATGCATGACGAAATACCCTCACACTGAATACTAAATGCTTTAAAATTTCGCCAAGTTTCGGGGGAACCCCCCCCCCCTTACGCCTTCCGTCGAAATTTCTAAATCCGCCTATGTTTCATAGGTTGCCTGCCCTTTTAGACCCTAAAAGCTCCATTACATAACCTTAAAATTACCGAATTGTCCGTACTCTTCCAACACATACAGGTACTCTAATCTCAACTTTACCTGAGATAACACCGGGACGGAAGCGCCGGTAGTGTTTACTTTGGTCCAGTTGAACAAAGCTCAACCCTCGCACCCACGGCGGCGTCGGGCCGGGGGCGGCGGGGAGGGGGACGCCGGCCGGGTGGCGCGCGGGGGGCGGGGGCTGCGCAATGCCTGACCTATATCGTCGGATCATTATCCGAGGCGTGCGCATTCGCATCGGTCGCGTGTGCCGCTCGTCCGCGTTCGTTCGCGCGCCCGACCTTGCGGATCAGCTGAGCTTCCCGACCCGGTCGATACGATAAATTGTGGCTGTGAGTGCGTGGTCAGTTCCCCGACGAGAAACTCCCGCCGCCGTCGTCGTCCGCCAACCTCACGACACAACCTCACTCGACTCAACCCTCAACCGCGGTAGACGCCTTTACGCGATACATATCTGTGCTGTGATACGCTTTAACCTAGCTCGTAACTTCGGCCCCCCTTTTCAGACTGTCTTTATTCGCGATTTAAGCAAAGAGCGAGATTGAAAGTAAATCTATGATTGCATAGTGAGTGATAGAGCGGGTGATATGAATGGGTTTCCTCGGAAGTGAGTGGTACCACACACATAAATACAGACTTACGGATAACGCGGTTCGATAGTTCCTACAGGAGGGTGATTAGCTGTTCAATTTTATTTACTGGTATGCGTACACTTTATATACCTATGTATTTGGTTCCCTTCCAAATATAACAAACTTCAAAGTTCCCTGTGCAGATGCTCTTGCGTACATAAACAGATCTTGCGCAAATATCCGACTTTAAAACAAACAACTCATACCTCCAATTTCGTTGATCTCTTAATCAAACTTGTCGCGTTGGATTTACGCCAGCAAATTTTCACGTTGGAAATTGTGATTTTCCCCTATCAAATTTTGTTTGATGCAATTTTTCAGTTTATAGGCGCTAAAAATGTTAAAATAACTGATACCAGTTCGGTGATATCGATCTCTAGTAGTAACGTAAGAATAATACGTCTTTGCTCCTCTGAAAGATCGACTTTTCAAAACTCACTCGATACGTTATTATCATGCACAGTAGATTTTAAGGTGTTTTCGTTTCCACAAACCGGCAAGTTTTTTTTTTTTTTTTTTTTTTTTTTTTTTTTTTTTTTTTTTAAAAATTACTGTTTGCTTCCCTGACCCCAGAATCATATTAGCTTATTTTACGCAGTTAAGTATAATTTTCACTGATTCTGTTTTTCAACTATATTCTACAGCTCATGCCGGTGTTTTTCGGCCGCACCGTCATTCCACGCCACGAATCGTAAATCGTAAATCAGCATCGTTCCTCGACTTCGGGCCAATGATCAGTCTCCACCGACCCGATCAGACCGATCGAAGTGACCGCAAACTGACCGCCCGTTCAAGCTTGAAAAGGACTTCGAAAAGTATTTGTATACACTCGTTCGATCATTCGTAACTCCTCGGAGTTCATGGAGAGGTTGCGTCGACCCTTTGGTGTTCTGTGTGCCTCTTGGATAGCTCTGAAACCCACGGATCGGTTTTGATGTGTCGTGCGTGCTCGAGTCCGCACATCGTCAGCGAACCCAGTGACCGTCCGAGTTGACTGTAGAGAGACCATGGCACAAGAAAAAACGGATGCGGCGCTCCTGGACGCGGAACGCGGGGAACAGGATCGGAGCTTGGACTTCAACGCCATCAAGTTGGAAATCGCCAACGGCGGCAAGAAAGCCGGTGAGTACAAAAATCATAAGACTCATATCGCACATACGTGGTTTCGCACGTTACACTGAAAAAAAATTCTCGGCGTTTTTACCAAGGTCCGTTGGTATCTTTACCATCTCGCTTTTTTTTTAAACAATTATTGGTAATTTTACCAAGACAGACTGGTGAGCTTACCTATAAACCGGTATTTTTACTGTTTTTTTCAGGTAAGAATAACACTTTTATTGGTAATCAACTCCCGGTAACTTTGCCATTTTATCTCGGTAATTCTACCACAGTCGATAAAAAATATTGGCGTTTTTACCGGGGATCAGTAAAATTACCGAGAAAGTCAATAATTTTACCGAGATTTCTCGGTAAAATTACAAATTCCATAAATGGTAATTTTACCAAGAAAAAACTGGGATCAAATAGAACCCTGAATTCTTGGTAAGTTTTCCCTTTTCTTGGTAAATACACCGAGATTTTTTTTCCAGTGTAGCCATCGATATCGGAAAAAGCGACGGTGTAAGTCGGCAATCGCATAACTCGGTTCGCGACGTCGCACAGAAGATCGAGTCAATAGGAGAGGTCGAACAATATTGGGAAACTTCAAACGCTTTAACTCCGTTTATACAAAACTTCGAAGTTCTAAAAGTGGTTCCATTGGTTTCCTCGTGAAATTTCCATTTAAAAGCACCCCTTAAAATATAAAATGCAACGAATTAAACATCAAAATTTGCAGTTTTAGTTGAAAATTTCATGTCCGACCTCTCCAACAGACTCGATCTACTGTGCGTCGGAGACTTCCTGTCATACGTTACTTTAAGTTAAGGGAAACTTCTCAACGGCAATTCTTTAAAACTGCCGAGATTTTTCTTCTCCGTGCGAAGAAAAGTCTGCATAAACTTCACGGAAAGATGTAAATTTGTTCTCCTTTGAAAAAATAACATAGAGGCGGAGATTTTCAGACACCGCAAACGAGGTATGTGATTGCGGACTTACGCCGTCGAAATGCAAAATGTACCCACTATCTGAGACATTTCCATCAGATTTTGCGGATATTTCAATCATAACTAATACGTCTTACCTTCAAGAATTTTACACCTGGCATTTTTTATCAACTTCTTCAGATCTCAACTGTCTGCAATCTTGTGTAGGTGCCTGATGGCTGAATGCAGTTGTTCATTAAAATGGCAGATCTGAAGGTGTAGTTTTTGAACATTCATTCGGATGGGGAGCGTAAGAGACCTCCTGGTACGAGATTTGAAGGACCAAATATTTCCTTTAAGAAAAAACAGCAACAACAAAAGAATGAAAGTAATGGCAAAATGAATTCTTTCAAATGCATGTCGACGGTGAAACGCTCAGACCGTGCGTGTCTCGTTTGCTGTGTTTAAAAATCTCCGTTCTTGTTTTATTCTTTTGAAGGAGGATAAACCAACAGCATTCCTTGAAATTTTCACAGGATTTTCTTCGCATACAGAAGAAAAATTACGGAAGTTGTTCAGAATTGCCGTTGACTATTTTTCCATGTAAAAAATACAGTATGCCAAGTAGTCTATAACGCCGCAAACCGAGATATTCTTTTGAAGGAGGATAAACCAACAGCATTCCTTGAAATTTTCACAGGATTTTCTTCGCATAGAGAGGAGGAATTACGGAAGTTATTCAGAATTGCCGTTGACTATTTTTCCGTGTAAAAAATAAAGTATGCCAAGTACTTAGTCTAGAATGTCGCAAACCGAGATGCGTGGGTTGGGGTTTTCACCGTCGAGTGTGTCGTGCGGGAACCACTCATGTCCAATTTTTCAGCCTTCAGTTTTTTCGTTGATAGTACTTTTCAAGAGTTGATACAATAGTGCCAAAGTGGCAAGTGCAGAAAGTGGTGTCAATACTTGCTTTGGGATGAGGATAACCCTAAACCAAGAATTAACACTACTTTTATGGTTGCATTTGACTCTGAAAAGAATCATCAACCCAAAAAAAAACTCAAGACTGGAAGAATGGACACTAGCAGATTTCGAGTGAAGATTCAATTGTGGTAAAATCACCGTTTCAGGTGGATTAAAGTTGAAGTATTTGAATATTATGTGTACGTGTTTGTTAGTATTTAGTTTTTTAATTCTAGCTGTGGCGAAAACTCAGCGAAATCTTTCCATTTTAATGCTCATCGTGACTTAAAAGCTGCTTTGGTTTGGGTTGATTCTTGTTATCCGCAATTCTAACGACTTGGGTATTTTGGAGGGAATCCTCAGCTTACAGACATTACCATGAAGATATAGAATTACGTTTGATTCTATAATCTGAGTGTAGGTATCAACTCTATAAAATGTGAACATAAAATCCTTTTGGCGAATTCTAAGTGGAATGGTTCTAAAATACGCGTTAAGAACATGTCCAGACCATAGTAGTTGGAATTTTCAAAACTGCAAAGGTCACGAGCCTGCTTAAAATCCAGCGCTATTAATATTCGAATCATATTTTGTTTGGTCTACGGAATTTTTTCGCTAATACGCCCACAACTATACCTGGGAAAAAAACTTATTGAGGTCTGAAGGTATGGCTGATCTCTTGGGAAAAATTAACGCCCTTCATTCCCTATCCACCGAGCCCAGCACAGAGGTTAATCACTGATCACTCAAATATTTATTCACAGCCGTGTCTGATGGAGGAGGGTCCCGGGCACCCATCGCCAGATTCTTTGCAAATACGGATCAGATCAAGTTTAATCAACGAGAGAGAGTCCAAAAAAGAAGCAAGAAATTTCAATTCATCTGCATTTCATTATTTCCTCGATAAATTCTTAAAAAGTCACGGCTAATTAATGCAGAACTAATAGGTCGTTGGCCCATAGATCCTTTGTATTAATTCTTATCTCCGAGAATATATGTGCAAAATCGGCTAGCAGAATAGTTCTTTCAAATAGTTACGTCACAACAAAACGTAAAACAAACATTGCTGTTTCATTGCTAAACCAAAATGTTAGCTCAAAAAGATTCACAGCTATACACAGCGATTTCTTAAAGTAACATAGCGCGATTGCTGAAATCGCGACCTCTGATCGCAACACTGCAAATCTTCAAGCATGCTTCATTTTTTAGGAAAAGTTTGACCGCCAACATTCCCCTTGAAATTTTCGCTGAAATTTCATCATTCATTCAAATTACTTGAGAGAATTTTTAGGGAGATATTTTGGTTCGTATTTTTTGAGAAAATGAAAATACGATCACGAATGTTGAAACTTGTCAATAAAGATGCTTCCTTCTCAGTTTTGCCATGGTTTTTACTGAGATCATTTTCTTCAAAAATATTATACTACCAAATCTACGCGACTTTGCCAATCCGACAGTGCTCGTTAACGGTGTTTCAAAATCTCCGCTCTCATTTGATTTTTACGAAGGAGCACCAATCAACATTAAGTATCCATTGAAATTTTCACGGGATTTTCTTTGCGTAGAGAATAAAAATCACGGAAATTTTTAGGAGCTGCCGTAGCGTAGTTTTCCATCTAAAAAATAAATTTTGCCAAAAAGTCCGTGACGTCGCAAACCGAGACACGAACTCCTGAAGTTGCATCATCGAATAGGTATCGTCATGCGGGTGCCGCTTTATACCTTTGCACGGAAAGAATTTAAATGTTAGCATTTATACTGTTAAAAAGATTTCCGACAAGTTTCAAATGCTGATTTTACATTTTAATAAATGCTAACGTAACTACGCCCTCTGCAAAACGTACAAATTAAAATGTTATGTTAGCATTTTTGTATTGTAAAATCAGCATTTGAAACTTGTCGGACATCTTTTTAACAGTATAAATGCTAAATTAACTTTGAATTTTTTTCCGTGCGGCTTACCTCCAAAAAATACTCTTGATAAAATATCGATGGCTGAAGTTTAAGTCGACATATCTTCATTGCAATGTTTCAGAATTTTCGATCATACGGTGTTATTTTTTAAAGAGAAATAACCAAAATACCTCCTTAAAAATTCTGTGAAAATTTTTGAATGAGTAGAATGGAAGTTCATAGAAAATGTTAAGCGAGTATGTCGGTTACTTTTCTTTTGAGGAAATTCACAAATATTTGCAATAATGCAATCGGAGGTCGCGACTTCGCCCATCGACGTTACTCTAATAAACCGTGTTATTTTCCTGTGAATCTTGCTGAACGAACATTTTGCTTTCGACAGGCAGGCGACTTATTCCGGATTCCCCAACAAAGTCGATCTCATTAGATTGAATGGTGTCCGAAACTATTGAAAACAATTCGACAAAGCGGCTTATTTACATTCTCGGCCCATTGAAATGTTCATTTTGTCATTTTCCTTACGAAAGAACGTAACTAAATTGCTATGTTGCCACATATCCCATCGCAAATTGCATTTCTACTGGGGGAGCCTTGGGCAATTTTAACTGGAAATTTTACTGATTTTTCACTGGAAAAAAAACACATTGGATCTAGAGTCCAGACTCTTGAAAACATCGACTGTAAAAGATACTCTTGATTCAATCACATTTTTGCTGAAATCAAAAGGAGATCCACTCAAATTAAGAGGCTTGGTTCTTGATTTAAGCAAAAATCCGATTGAATCGAGAGTATTTTTTCTTGTCGATGTTTTTAAGAGTCTGGACTCTAGATCCAATGTGTTTTTTTTTTCCAGGGTTCTCTCGATCGCATACAAAAATCAGACAAATTTTAGACAGTACTTAATTGCACAAGTACATTCTTGTAAAAACTTTAATTCGTTTGAATCAATTTTGCAACCTTGGAACAGAGTAACGTTATTTCTTTCGGGAAACGACAATTTGCCTGGTAACGTGGACGCTTAATGCGACGATAGTTAGTTGGAACCGCCATGTTGCCATTCATCTCCTCCCTGGCAGGAAACGGTATTTATAGGTGTTGTTTATTCGATTCCCCCCTTTAAAAATGAGGTCTGTTTGACACCCTAAAACTGGGACAAACAATTCTTTGTCCACATTCCTGCTTTAAGCGGAAGGCGATCACCGCATCAATAACTTTACCGTC